ATTGTCTTAGTTTTTACATCTGGACTGTCGTAGAGAGGGTGGTTACTCTTCTTTCTGTGGTGTTTTAGTCGTGGCTGACGGAGGAGGTGCGCGAAGCCGCGGACTTTCCTCTCGCCAAGGACTTTGTATCGTCTTATCCACGTGTTTGTTGCTATCTGGTGGTCTGACCCTTGCCGGGTTCGACCATGAAAGCTCGCGGGGTGTTGTTCAATTATCCGAATCATGTATATGCACGTGTAAAATATTGAGTTCCTCGAGGACGGTACATAGGCTGCGCGTAGAAGTAGAGAGGGGTGTCTCTTCTTGTGCCCCTGCGCGCGGGGACGTTTCTAGTGTTGTGGTCTGCGGGTGTTCGATTGTGTCGGTTGTTTTTGCTTGTCTTGTGATGGAGAGAGTGAGAAGGCGGGTTATGGTGATATCTCGGTGTGCGTTTTGTGGCATATGCTGTGTCTCTTGTAGCGACCATTCTCTTGGTCTTATGGTGTCTACTCTTGTGAGTTACATGTGGTGGCGCTTCGTGTTGTAGCCGGTCATCTGGAGAGGGTGGAGGGTGGCGATGATGACTCATGTGTCGCGTTTTTTTTTTTGCCATGGGGGGAGTTGAGCGCGCATTTCCGCTACGGACTCCATTGTACTTGCGGGTATGTTTCTATTACTGCATGAGTTTGTTGCCTTTTTGCCGATATACCTTTCGCGCTGTGCGTCGGTCTACTGTAGAGAGGCACATACTGCATCGAGAAGAGCCGCTGTCGCTTTTTTTGGAATTTACAAGCATGTATGTGTGGATTCGCGGGAAAAGGAAGAACTCTATATCCATCTCTTACTGTCCTCGACCACGACGGCTGTGAGGTGCCGGGGGCGGGGGCGGGTACGACCTTCGCGTTGTCGGCCTTAGCGAACGAACGTGACTGGCTAACTATCTCGTACATTCACCGAGCCTGCCAGTCGAAGTGCTCAGAGCACCTTGGCAATCTCACGCTCGCGAACTAGCCTTGCCAAACACATCGTAGGCAATGAGCCTTGCCAATATCCGGGTCGAGCTTGCAATCCCACTTTCGCGAACAAGCTTGCCAATCGCCAATCGCACGCTCGCGAACTAGCCTTGCCAATCTCATGTTCGCGAACAAGCTTGGCAAGCACATCGTTGGCAATGAGCCTTGCCAATCACACGTTCCCGCACTAGCCTTGCCAATCTCAAGTTCGAAAACGACCTTGCCAATCGCCAATCGCACGCTGGCTATAACTAGCCTTGCCAATCTCACGTACGCGAACGAGCTTGGCAAGCACATCCTAGGCAATGGGTTTGCCAAACCGTTCTTCTGTCAGGGGTTGCCAAGGTTGGTGAAGGGACGGAGGTTGGACAACCCAACGGACTCTTCAGGGGCTCGACCTTGCCGATGACCCCCCCCCCCCCTTGCCGAAAAGTCCCCAAGGGGGTTCGACCTCCACCTGTGTGTCTTCAAGGCACACCCGCTAGCCAATTGTCCAACAACGCGTATTACTTGTAGTGTGCATGAACACATGTCCTGTGGCGAGCTGAGGTGGATATAGGATGTGGTAACGTCGCGGTCCCGGTCTTGGTGTGGTGGGGTGCGGTGGTGTGGTGGGGGGTGGGGGGGTTGGGTACCCCCCCGGGTGTTTTTTGTTGAAGTTTGGGGAAAGAATGAGAGACAGACTGTAAGACTGACACACTTTGTGCAAGCCAAACTCCCAATCAATCAAGACCACCGCTAGAAGAGACAACAATGATCTGTGAGACTGAAACACTTCGTGCCAGCCAAACAATTCCAGGGGGCTCTGCTGTTGTCCACGGTGCTCACCTATGTTTCTATACCCTCTCGCCCGAAACTCACCAATAATTTGGTCTGCGCCAACAAGATGAAACTGGCCAACATGCTGTTGCGGGACCACCGATTGAGTTTGACTGCCCGTGCCAACGGTCGTGCCAACGGTGTTCGACCTCACCACGTACAACAACGGCGTGCAGCAATCACCCAGGCTGTGGTGTGCCCGAGCATCGGCACGGCCAAACGGTCCCGTTGTGCGACACATGCATGCCTTGGTATGCTACTGCTACATGTACATGAGTGTCCGCGTGCGCCATGGTCCGCTGGTCGGCTGTGGTTCCGCACAGCACCCTGGCGAGTTCCGTCGTGTCCTGTAGTGCCGTGTTGGCGAAGACCTGTTGGCGCAAACCAAATTGGTGAGTTTCGGGCGATAGGGTGTAGCAACAAAGATGAGTTCTATAGATATGTTGTTGGCGAAATAGGCCAGCGGGTGTGCGTTGGAAGATATGACCGTGCTGTAACGGTCCCAAACAGAAGTCTACATATATATATATGTTGACAGCATAAAGAAGTTCGGCATGATCCACGAAGAGCCATGATGATCCGACGACGGGTAAAAGTTCGTCCGCGTTCATCCGCGATCCGGGGCTGGTTATCTTTCATTCCACCCGTGCACCACACCGTGGTATCCACCTCACCGCAAGCCCATTGAAGGCGCAGTACCGCAGGAGGGGAAGGTAGAGAGAGGCTCTTCTGTGTGACCACGGGTTGGAATAAACGGCACTAGTGCTGTGAGCGCTGATTTGAAGTGAAGAAAAAAAAAAAAAAAGCCCAAGCCCAAACTACGTGTGCTCTGAAGACATGACACTGTGGTGGTGGCCTCAAACCGGAAACAAGGATGGATCCGACTTGTAAACGTTTCATTCTACAGCCGACCAGCGCAACATGGCTTAGGCGGACAATCGTGTATGTAGCATATGTAGCATACCGATAACACAGCCTAGGTGATTGCTGCATGCCGTTGTACATGATAAGGTCGAACACCGTTGGCACGTAAGGTCGAACACCGTTGGCACGACCGTTGGCACGGCAGTCAAACTCAATCGGTGGTCCCGCAACAGCACGTTGGCCAGTTTCATCGTGTTGGCGCAGACCAAATTGGTGAGTTTCGGGCGAGAGGGTATAGAAAAATAGGTGAGCACCGTGGACAACAGTATAACCCCCTGGAATTGTTTGGCTGGCACAAAGTGTTTCAGTCTCACAGATATGTTGTCTCTTCCAGCGGTGGTCTTGATTGATTGGGAGTTTGGCTGGCACAAAGCGTTTCAGTCTTTCGTGTCTGTCTCTCATTCTTTCCCCAAACTTTAACAAAAAACACTCGGGGGGGTACCAACCCACCCACCCACCACCGAACCACCGCACCAC